AAGCAGAGGTTATATATGTACTTTTAAAAAAATTTTTGCCTTCAATTTGCAGATATTTCTATGTAGTCGTGATGAAAAATGATACAGAAGATAGTCGATTGCCTTCTAACTTTAAAAACACAGACTTGGTGACTTATTTTAAGGCCATATCTTCCGCACAACCAATGCCGTATATTGCTGCTGTAGTTTCTCGCAGAGACTTTAAGCCTGATTTTACACTTGGTGATGGTGAAAACACAACACGGCGTTCCATTGGTGAAAATTATTATAATGGCCCGCTGAAGCTTGGCACTAACTACAAAATATTTCAGCGCATTTTCATTAATGATCAGGTGCGATATTTTTTATACGTTTTCATCAGCATTGCATGATAAAATTTTTATTCAAATATAAATGTTCACTTCGTTTCAGGGTGATTATTATTCTACTGACTGGAGTCCAGTGGCAGCAATTGTCCAAAAGCAGGAGTCTTCAGGTTTGTGTTTGCTTTCAATAGCTTAAGGGAAGTGTATCGATGTCTAAAGTGTAATGATTCAAGATCTTTGCAAATTTCAGTATAGTGAAATGCCTGAAAATTTAAACGATTAATACAGATTTTGTTTGATGATACAGCCGATTTAATTCCAACAAATAACTGCCTTAGTGATTTTGTGTACCTCTTCTCTAATTTCTTTGCGTTCCAAACCTAATTTATACCATAAATATATCATGAATGGTTAACAGGTGTGAATACATGGGGCGTGAGAGCGGTTACACTCTCAGCTTTCGAAAAATGATCGCTGAAAGACAACATTTGTTGGTAATGTTATGATTTGTCATTCGTTTTTATCTTGTAGACGGTGGAAACATTGGAGCTATTGCTGGTACAGTTGTAGCTGCTGTTTTGCTCATTATTCTTGTCATATTGGTCATTCTTTTTGTTAGGATCAATTCAAACTCTGCTACCGTGGTGTGAACTGCGTATTGCAGTCATTCGACTGCTACTAAAATTTCTCAAAAATTGGGGAAGTTCAATTTTTTCTCGAAATTATTAGACGTTTTCTGAAATTTAGCGTACTATAAAAAAATATAATTAAACATAAGATTTTATTTCCTTTTTAACTATAATAGTGAACGAGAGTGAATGATTCTGAACAGTATTTGAAAACAATTTGGAACATAACATCAAATTTTTAGGTTAAGGATATAGTCAATATTTGATATAGGATAATAGTACAGCTATTATCTAATACATTTTATCTAAACACATTAAATAAGAAATAAAGTAAAATTACAAATAAACTGTGGCGAAGCAAGCTCAGTAATTTTTTTTTCTTGGGGGAAGAGACTTTTCAAACATTCAAATATTTTGGAATCAGTGAAGTATGTATGATTATGTGCGCACTGTCATCTCTTTAATTTGCCCGACATAGAAAACAGGGAGTTTTAGTGGATGGAGTTTACTCTGTTATCAACTGTATTAGTCTTAGTAAAATTTTGCTGTTATTGTCTTTTCCTGTTTTCGCTTATTATCCTCATTATAATATTCATTATAAAATCATCCAAAATTATCGAATTAATTGAATTTTCTGATGATTTGATTGCAAGAGTCCTAGGAGCATTGTGTTTGTCTGTAGACTAGAGATCAACGAAAAAGAACAAATGGGTTTGAAGCAACGACACACGACTTTACAAAACAAGAAAAATGCATATGATCGCCAAACACATCCTTCTCTCGTATAGTTTGTCGTTAACCCCTCTCTTCGTTTTGAACACTTGCCGGAACTTCCACCGAAAAACTGATCTCGGTAGTCGGTACCAAACTTCCGTAACATTAAATGCGTTTAAAATTTACATTTGCGTTTAAATATATGCTTGTATTACGGAAAATATCAATTTGTTACAAATACAGAAATACAGAATATCATTCAGAGACTCTAGACTCTAGATATGAAAAACATAGCCAATAACGAGTGTCTCCGATTTATTAGTTTTCATTAGTTGGAACACACACCAATGATTATGATGTATGAGCTTTCACTTCCTAAGAATATGAGCAGACGACCATCAAGTGAAACAGTTTCTTTTCGCCATGTAATATCAAGTAGTCTATTGATACCTGCAAATAATCACGTGTTATTTATAGTTGGGCTGCTTTTTTTGTCCACCTCCTGTTTACTTCATGTTTATTACGTTTGTTTTGTCATTCATTTTTATACTATAGGCGGTGGAAATAATGGAGCTTTTACTGGTGAAGTTGTAGCTCCTGGTTGGTTTCAATTTTTGTCGTATTGGCTTTTCGTTTGAATCAATCTAAACTCTTGTACTCGAACGTGCAGTAAAATGCGTATTGATGTTATTCGACAACTACTGACAACATTTAATGAGAGTGAATTCTTGACTTGCAATTCAGCCATGTTTGTAGTATGATAGAAAAGAATATTTTATCAGTGTTATTGTTGGCACCAGCCGACGTGGACGAGCAGCATTGTTTGGTAAATCTCAAGAGAATGGTTGCAAGTCCGGAATAGTTCTGAGTTTAAATTTAATATTGAATTAATTACTTCATCAAAGTAAACACAATGTCGCGACTGCTCACTTTTATGTCTCAATCTATAGGTTAGTTTAACAACCGTTTGCTTTGTTCATCAAAATTATTTAAGAATGATTGTAATTTGTATAGATGTTATAATGAGCTTAGCTTTTAGAAAGGAAAATCACAACTCAACTTCTTGCTACAATATGTTTACTCAATCTGTCCCATTGGTTATTACCAATGGGTATCACAATATTAGACTCCTGTGTAGGCACTGGATGTAAGATTTGGCATTGGGAAAGAGGTTTGTATTTTGGAATCATCAGAATATTCTAATCTACTATGAGAAAACTCAAGTACACGGTAGCTCTTACCAAGTGTCTGTTTAGTTAGCTAAAGTAGCTGATATAATAACTCAAATTTTCTACCTATCAAATCGTTCCATATGTATCGTACCATATCGTGCAAGATGTACAAATCATAAAGTGCAATTGCCAAACTGGTTTCAATTTTTGGCTTATGCTTTCATTCCAGTTATTTAAATATTGAGTTCACTGGTTAAATGATGTCATGCAATATGGCGGATCGTAAGAATTTGGTTGTCTTGTGGTTACGGACGAAATTTTGTCATCAAAAAGGTATTGAATTCCTTTTCAATATTAATTGTCAGTTCTTAAATATTTCATTACATTTTTTTTCACTTTGTACTCTGTTTGCGTTAAGTTGACCTTTTGAAATCGACAATAATTAGTCACCATGTTTTGAGACGAAGCCGAATAACAAAGACTCAGCAGACAGCAAAATATTCTCCATGCCTGTATTTGTGTGCTATTCGTATTCTTCCTTTTGTTTTTTGCTTTTGCGGAATCAAATTAAATTGGAATTATACGTTGTACTTTCTCCAAATTACAATTATATGAATAAATTCAAAAACCAAGAATCACAGGCAATTTGATATGTAGATCAAAGAGTTTTTCGTATGATCTGTGGTTTTATATTTGATGTCTTTAAGAAGTGAATCTTAGAATTGAATTTCAGATATCAAAATTATGAGTCGACTTTATCTGATATAATCAATGTAAAAAGTTTTAATATATTTTTGTCTGGTAATTAGTGTCCTTTAAAAAGTGATCTGATGTTGAAACTTAAGTCATTATGTGTTCAAGTTTTTGTGTAGAGTGATTTTTTGTATAGTTACAATGGTTGTATAGCTGTATATTAAAATTAAAATCACAAGTAATCCAGTTCAGTGTCTTCATTCCATACTATTTACTTTTATAAATGTGTGAGGATAGTATTTTTAGCAACTGGTCTTTTAATACTTCTTTGTTATGCTTTTACACCATTTGCTCATCATTAAAGAAGATTGAACTTTCAATTACAGGCTTCGACATACCTGCAATAAAACAATAAAATATTCATTATCTTTATAGAAAAACCAGAAACACATGTCTACAATCAATAGGTTTCTATAAGAGAAAAGTCAGAATCATTCGGATAAAAAGAAATTTTCATAAACATATGTAAATCTCTGCTTTTGCTAAATCTCTGCTTTTGTAAATCTCTGCTTTTGCTTCTGCTTATGCTTCTGCTTATGCTTCTGCTTCTGCTTTTGCATATGTAAATCTCTGCTTTTGCTTCTGCTTTTGCTCTCTTTCATACAAAGTTCATATGTATATGTTTATTCAATAGCGTAGCCAGGTCGAATTTACTCTCGCTATGCAAATATTTTTCGCATTTAATAAATACGACGAGTTTTTTTACAATAAATGTGTTTCAACATCTCATGATGGCATCCTCAGTATAATAAGAATATTATGTATATGCATGATAATTTTATATAAGAGTAATGTAATGCAGTTATACAATTATCATTAGATTGTAAATATTACAATGAAATACTGGTTGGAACTAATTTATGAGTGTATTTACAGGCTGAATATAGTGTTAAAACGAAAAACGTGAACGTTGAGATTAGGATTAGTTTTTAATGTGAAATGCTTCTTTAAAAAACTCGTCGTATTTATTAAATGGGCAATATAAAAGTGTTTTACGCAGTTGCGGCAAATATTTTGTGTTTACTGACCGTAAGAACAATGGATTTCTAAAGAATGTCTTTATGATGAAATGATTTGTTACATTTATTCGTAATGTATTATGCGTAATGTATTATTAAGTAATCTATTGATATCTTTAGGTAACCATGTATTGTTTATAGTTGGGTTACTTTTTTTGTTCACCACTTGTATACTTAATGTTTTATGTTCTTCTTCGTCATTCATTTTTATCTTATAGACGGTGAAAATGCTGGAGCTACTATTGGTGCAATGTTGGATGGTGTTTTTTTGGTTATTATTCTTTTTGTTAGGATCAATTCAAACTGCCACACGAGCGTGCAGTGAAATGCGTATTGGACTTATACGTCGACTACTGACAACATTTGACGAGAGTGAATAGTTCTGAATTCAAATTTGAATTTAGTTTAATCATAAGCTCAAAGCAAAAATTCTACGGCGGTTGCTCGCTTTCAATAGGTTGGTGAAATGACCGTTTGGTTTGTTCATAAAACTTATTTCAGATAAACTTCCTTTTCATCAAAAACGAAAGACATGGGAATTTATACAGTTTAAGCTTCAAAGAATGAGTTGGGAGTGTTGAAAAACCAGGCTTAGCCCCCAATGTTGAAAAATATAAAATAAATAGATTCCGAACAAAATAGCCATCTTGAAATACTATATTTGAATTTAAACATGAAACGTAAGATATAAAATAAGGCCAATGAAGTCTTTCAAATAAAGACAGCAATAAACACTCGTTTTTGTCTGTTGTTGTAATTCAAATATTGAATTTCAAGATGACTTTTTATGGAATTTTTTGTATATTGATAGAATTCAGTATGCTGAATTATTTTGAATGAAGTCCTATTTTTTTAATTTATATCGATGTCCTTTGTTTGGATACGAATGGATTTTTCATCAAACATATTCAGTCAGGGAAATGTGTTTATGACAGAGGTTTATATCGTACTTCTATTCTGAGGTTTACAGAGAATTTTTTTCACTCGGGAGCTCGATTTAAATTTCTATAATCTGGTTCAATCTTGAATCTAGACTTTTTTGGCTGTCTTGAAAAAGACGAAGACAAGCATAAATTATTGCGGATTTATCCAACCTTTGTTAGACCATGCAGAGCCATCAATGCCATAACCCAAACATTTTGGGGTGGTCTACTCTATTCACGCTATAATAAATGTATAGCAGCTTCAGGAGATCGATACTACGTGGAACTGGCCAATTGTAATGACGAAGAAGATGAACGATTTAATTTAGGCAAGTTAGAATTTTTATCTAGTTAGCATGTACATAATTAAACTATGATCAAAAGCCACTGCAAGGCTTTAGCTATAGATATGGCGCCAGTGAGGTCAGTGCTACCAGAAACTTCATTTTTATAAAATTCAACTTTTATTTAACAGCAATTAAAAGATAAGCTTGTATAGACTTGAATTTACGTATATTTGTGTGTCTTTAATAGGCTCGGTAACATGTGCTGGAAAAAATATATCGGACGTTAGTTGTTCTTATAATCAATATATGGTGATAAAAGTTGCGGAATATTGTGGATTAAGAAAAGGAAGCATTTGTGGTTCAAGTTTTGATTACAATTGCAGTGTCGATGTAACATGTGACCTTAAAAATTACCGTGATGGTGAAAGAAATTGTAATATAACTGTTGATGATAATCATTTCCCTTCAAATATTTGTCCTGGTTTGGATAAATATCTTTACTTTGAATATCAATGTAACGACACAAGTATGCCACACAGAGAAATTTGCAATCGTAAGTGTTATATAGGCAGATTTTTTTGCTTATGATTCACGTGCCTCGGCTCATGTGACATTTAAACTTATGTTCTTAATATTTCAATTAAATTTAAATGTCTGCTCAATTTTGCGTTGTTAGTTTGTTAATACAAATTTTGTTCATAGACATACATCTCTTATTGCACTCTTTTTGATTTATTTAATCTATTTCATTTTAAAAATATTAGTATCATCTTAAGTAAGCCAAAAATGGCATTTAAAATTGGATTTATATTTTTATATTCATTAATTCTTACTACAGAATTTTTCATAAATACAGCATGCACATACAAAGATATAATTTTTAACATAAAAAGCCAAACGCAGAACTCACCTGTAATAAATTGTATTTGTTTTGCTTTCATTAATGATTCACATAATCACTTGGACACAATTTTTTATGATTCGTGTTTACAACCCAAAGGTAGAGTTGAACTTATCTGCATGTACTCAATGTAATGTGTCCATTATTGATATAGAAATTGAAATCAAAATAATGCTTATCAAATTAAATATATTTCTCTAAAATATAGTTGACAGGAAATTGTAAAACATTTCTGATTTAGTGTTTTGTAGTACATTATATTAAATTTATATAATTTGCATTAAAAAACAGGGACTAAGAATACTGTGTTCATATTGAGAAATACACTAATTTTCATTTTATTTAAAAATAATTAATTTCTATTTGTGTAGTTCATGATGTACGCCTGTCTCCGAACAAAGGTATCGTAGATGTTATTACCAAGTTTAGAAACTTAACGATCTGCAAAAATGGAATTTTGCATAAAGAAAAGACAATTGTCTGTAAGCACTTTGGTTATACTACCGCAACATCTGTGGAAGGCTCGATGCCACTATCATCTTTGATGTATCCATCATTTAAACCTGGAAATATAAATTGCAAAGTTCAAGTGAATGATTTATCTCAATGCACCATCACTCAAAATAATGGTTGTTCTCAATACTCGTACATAACATGTAAGCAATCTTATTCATTCTTTTAAACATTTTAAGACATTTTAGGACACATAAATATAATGATGAAAAAACAGTAGAACTAAATGATTTTAAACAACAACATATTACCTTTATCTTTAAAAACGACTTATATCTATCATCATGACTTATCTTTATCATCATGAATTACTTCTATGATCATAACTCCGATACCGAGCCTAATCCGGAAGTAGTCGATACTGCGTGGTATCGAAAAAGGACTTCGATTACTTTTAAAATTTCATTATTATGTAAGTTTGTCTTCCTTTTCATTATTGATTTTCACAAACATTTTGTTTTTTTTCTGTTTTATTATTTTAATATTTTATTCACTTTTACTTATTAATACACTTCGAGATCTCGCCTTCAGAATAATAACATGTAACCATTTCGTCGTATTGTTAAAGTATATAAGGCCGCACTTTAGCAATTCTATTATAAGATTTTTATCAAGCCACTCAGTTGTTTATTTTTTGAAATTGGAGAAAGTAATCGCTTTAGTAATCGATACCTCGATACTTTTAAGAAAAAGTAATCGGTATCGTATCAAATCGATAATAGAGGTATCGCCCATCACCAGTAAAATCCTGTTGGTGTTGATGTTGACTTACGTTTTGACAACGTTGACTGTAAAGATGACTACCGCTAAGGTTGTCGAAACGTAAGTTAAATTCAACACCAACAGTCCTTCTCAGGACTCTACTAACGTAGACAATTTACATGTGCAAACATGTAGACTGTCCAGGTTGTTAGGAAACCTGATGAGAGTAAAAAATTCTGGTTAGGATTTAAAAACAATTTTTAACATAACATAAAATTCTTAGGTTTAGCAGTGACGTAGCGAGCCACCAAGTTTGGTCGTTCTATGTAAATTTTTTTGTGTTCACTTACTGTAAAAACAACAGATTTCTAAAGAAAGGAATAATGTTAATGATGAAGAATTTACATAGCACGACCAAATTTGAGGGCTGACTACGAATTTTGTCAACATTTTAAATAGTACAACATCAGTAATATTTTATATTTGAATATATTAAATTGAGTACTAAGAACAAAAGTAATAAACAAAAAGCAAATCGAAATTAAACCCGAGTTCGAAACAAACAATCCATGGCGGCCGTTGCTTCAAATTTCCCGCTTCTGAACGATAGTGTAAAAAATAAAACACTTCAAAGGACATTTCACAACAAAAATCCAAATTTTTAAATAAAAGGGAGATTTGATAACTACATGTCAGTATATTCCGTCTAAAGATGATATGAGATGACTTAAGGGGAAATACATGCTGTAACATATTCACACAGATTTCTTTTACCTCACAAGGAACTTTTGTCTTTTCCAACACTTCAATATACAAGTATTCCAGTTTACATCACAGTTTGGGAAATCCAGGATTATGGCAACCACAATTAAGCGAATCATGGTTGGATAAAACGGACCTTCAAACACTCGAAGATGTAAACGAGCATTACTCAAGCTTTGCTTCTTTTTCATGATTTGAATATTCGTTCTAAAGTGTCGTATGAAATGTTCGACTACCAAATTAACCGTCAAAACCAATCCATTCACGCTGACTTTATTTGTCTACCCGTTGCTCTGTTTTATAGTTAACCATTTATTTTTGGAAGTCGTAAAGAAAACACAAATTTCTTTAAAAAACGTTATTTCGTTTCTCCCGTAATGGTTAGTTTTTAGATTTTATTTATTGGGTTCGCATTGCTCTAGATAAAGACACTTTGAATTTTCGAGAAATACTTGCTGTAATAAGTTTCCTGTTTATCTTTAGAAAATATCAAATATTTGACCAATGTAAACAACTGAATGCAACAGGTTTGTTAAACAGGTCTATTGGATTCAGTCGTGACAAAAAATGACATCGTTATCATAAAATTCATTTTTTTGCTGTCTAGTTTATGCAGAGTAAAAATGTTGATGTAGAAAGCATGAAGTGGACGGGCTGACATAAATAGTAGATTTTTGTTCGTATTCGTATTTTGTTTGCATTCTATCGAGTGATATCACTCTATATGGATTATTTTAGGACTCAAGAATCTATATCATGACAGATTATTAAAACCTGATAATAAAATGTACAACGAGTGAAATAGTAATAAATGTTAATAATTAATAATACATATATGCTTATAACTTTTTAGGGACATCAATTAAAGTTGGATGATACGCGTAATCAACTACGCGTCACATAAAATTATGGCGCCCACCCGAAAAATAATCACGGTTTGGCAGAAATTTTAACTGAAGTGGAAGGTTTAAAAAGAACTGCTGAAGTCATATGAGCTGTCATTGTTGTGTGCAGGTCATGTATATGGAGTGCGCGTTCATTTAACGTCTCACATAATCGCACGGATATTGGAGCTCTCCTTTCTTCATGTACGTAGGAGGGGAGGGTGGGAACTGTGCAACAAACTTTAATCCTTATACTTTGATAGTCAATTTTAATTGAAACTGACGTATTCTTAATTCGATCTATGTTATTATGATGGAATTTATTTTTATTTCAGTGGTGTTTATATTTGATATCTCTAATCTTGCTGATCACGTCAATCTGTCCAAATGGTTTATGTATTTCTGTGCATATTTCTGTGTGTGTTTCTGTGCATATTTGCGTCTCTGGATCAGAGGTAAGTAATCTCGTTTATAGCAAAAGTATAAGCAACAATTTTTCTGCATGTTAGCAAGAATATGACTCTTTTCAATCACACGATTTTCCAAAATGTTGTACATAAAGATTGAAATTGTTAGTCTACGTATGTGAACTACATACAATCTTTCATCAATGAGATCTCCAATTCAGCAACCCGTTTTTCAAACTTTGTCAATTCGTTCAGATGCAACAAAATACATTGAAATATCGCAAGCTTAACTTCCGGTAAAACAGCGCACTTTGATTGGTTCAGAAACATTTTACCCTGTTCTTAACTTTTTCATAATTTGAATAGTAGTATGTATATTTTCAAATAAACGTAAACAAACTTCATGAAGCAAACAGCAAAACTCAAAAAAAAAAAACAAAACAAAAACCATGTACGAATGTTAGTCGAAGAAAGAACACTTGTAAAGTGAGTTTTATTATCTGGACGACACAATTTCAAACGATTTATTTTTTATGATGGTAGAGAGAGTCGTGCTGCAGCGTAAATCAAACTTAGGTGGTAAATTTGATAGTCAAAAACTTAAAATACGCTTTATATGGGAACAATATAATTTTTCGTCATTGAGCAATTAAAGTCATTAACCTGTTTTGCCGTGTTTGCCCACTTTAGATGCGTTATTTGTGCTTCGTTGCTTCGTATAAACAAAGGAATTTCTTTAAAATATCAAAAACTTTATCTTCTATAACATTGCTTCGTCAACCAATCCACGGCATCCAAATTTCCTAACACATTTAAATTATTATTGTTGATTCCTAAAGGATAGGAATTGACGCAAAACAAATTCTATAAAATGTTGAATAACTGGGAAGATGGTTGAGTGTTTGTATATACTCAATATGGCACTGCACATTTGAGGAAGCCGACAGCCTTGGCCAGCAGTTGAAGTAAAACCTTGCGAAAGCCACAACTCTTTTGTTCGTCTGACTTGTATGTATCTTAATTTTTCTCTGTTTGTTTAAGGTGTATTTCTGCAGCCGCCTTATTGTGTCAGTTTTTCAATTAATAAAAGAACAAAAGTAAGATGTGATGTAGTTCATAGTAAAACGAAAGGTTTCTTTGTCGTCGATGCTATGTTAATATTTAATACTGCATATTATTTCTTCGACTGAGTTTGGCAGATAAGTGTTAATACAAACACCGCACAACTTCCGCCAACAACGATTTGATTCTTATAGTAAATGGAGAGATTTTTTCATTTACTACAATACCTCCATGCTTGATGTAGGATTTGGGACAGGTTATTACATTCATATTATGATTCATATATTATCATATTTTTCGCTCAAATCTCTCAACTAGATCAAAAACAAATCCTATTCCAGTGTTCTGTAAATAATTTTGTCCTTCAGTAGCACCTGCGAAACATTAAAAATAAATCCGTTTGAGATTTTCAATTCTTATGGAGTATTCATTGTCATCAAGTACTCTACCATTAACTGCAAACAAAGGAGTAACGCCAAGCTTTAAAAATGTAAAAATTTGCAAAGTATTTCCACGATTTTCTGTAATATACCTGTATATTTTTATAAAAGAATTTAAGCAATCTGAAGATAACGTTGAAACCCAAAACTACTTAAATGCTCTTAATATCGATGTTCATTTATTTCATGAGCTCTTCCTCATCTAACACCCTTTTCAACATTATTTTTTTGGTCATTATCTTTTAAAATTTTTAATTTATTGAGTTAATTTTTCAACTGTTAATTTTTAATTTGTAACCTGCGCAATTTAACTGTTTTATAGCTGCTAATGTGTTTAATTCGATGAATTAAAAATTCGAATGAAAATCCAATACGGGTATAGCTATAGAGACAACATGAGTATAGCTATACAGCTATAGAGGCTGCGTTACAAGAAATTGTAAAGTACTTTATTATTTCATAGGTTTTTTACATGTATCATGACACAACGGGAAATTGAAATGAAATAGCTAATGGGAAGTTCTGCGTGCACAAATGTTATTTTTATATTCAGTTAAAGAATTTTAACATCGTCCTGGGTTTTTAATCTATTTATCTAAAATAAATGATTTGCTTTGACTTTAATTTGATCTCGCTTTCTTCGCTTCCTTAGCGCTATCCACAAAAAGCATTTTTTCATCTTTCAATAAATCTCTTAAAACACAAGTTGAAATTTAGAGTGAACCGAGTAAGAAGAATAGAGCATAAATTGAAAGAAAACCAAGTTTCATTATTTTAAAAAAACTAAAATCACGCATATATATAACAGCTACAGTCGCTACCTTCAATGATCGTTGAAATATATACTCACAAATTTTTCTACGGAATAAACAAGATGTCTTCGCCTTCGATATGTATATTTTACTGAAGTATGATTGACATGTTTTTTTTCTATTGTGCATTTATAACTATTACTGTAATCTTTCTTTCACTCCCAGGGTTAACATAATAAAATGCGGTCAAAAACAAAACAAAAAACAAAACTATGTTTAGCTAAGAATGTACAGTTATTTAGAACTTGTTTGTATTCTGCAATCTTCGCAACTGTCCTGTTATTCCCGCGCTGCGTTGTAGTCGATCAGTTGGACGAAGCACTTGTTCTTCTTCGCCGTACTTATCGCTCTCTACTCTTTCGTTACTGTCTTCTTCCTGATGAACCTCCATTGGAATAAGTTGCCTGATAGAACGTCGCAACAAGTGTGAATGACTAGAATCTCCACGAAGGACTCTGACTTGTGCAGCTCGTGTAATTCCATCGTCACCTTGTAACAGTTGTTCAACTTTCGCCACCTTCCAAAAGATACGTTTTGTTTGATCGTTGCGAATAATGACGATATCTGCAACTGCTATTTCGGGATTTTGATTACCTCTTGATTTTGAAGTGTATTGCTCTCGTAAGGCTAAAAGACACTCGTTTCTCCATTGAAGAGTAAAACGTTGCAGCAAATTTTTGTGATGTTTCGCCTTTCTCGTCAAAGATTGATAGATGCTCTGAATTTCAAAGTGCTCACTGTTTGGCATGGTCGTTATTCGTCTTCCATACACAAGTGCGACGGGCTTAGCGGAAGAGATACAGCTTCTTCATCGTCGTACACGTAGGTTAGGGTCGTGCATTTATTACGCCCTCGATTTCAACCACAATAGTATGGAACTCGTCGTAGGTTAGATTGGTTCTACCAACTACCTTTCGCAACGTACGTTTCTCGCTTCGAATCAAACGTTCCCAGAAGCCTCCCCACCAAGGGACCTTTTCGACGATAAATTGCCATGTAATCTGATGGTTTGCAAGATAGCATAACACTTCCTCAGAACGACATAACTTGCGAATTTCTAAGCATGCAGCTCGAAAAGTCTTAGCATTATCGGATATAAGAACAGCTGGCAGTGCTCGTCGACTAGTGTATCTGCGGAACGCGCGGAGAAAGGCTGGAACGATTAAGGAAGTAGTGAGCTCCAGATGAATGGCTCTAGTAGAGGCACACGTAAACAATACAATATACACCTTTGTTGGATTATCCGACAAATTATTCCTTTCGCAACTCTCTCGTACGAACAACGGTCCTGCAAAGTCCAAACTTACGTTTGTGAAAGGGGGATCATCCGACACTCTGCTAACAGGAAGATCTGGAGGAAGCGTTCCCCTATAAGGAAGATCTTCGGCTTTACGACAAACGACACATATCCTGACGATTTTCTTTACTGCTTCTCGACCACGGATTATCCAAAAATGCTCTCTAATGGTTGTTAGTGTATCACGAATCCCGCTGTGCTTCACATTGTGGTGAGCATCGCAAATTAATAACTCCACAAATCTTGATTCCTTTGGAAGAAATGCTGGATTTTGCTCTCCAGATTCAGCGATGAATTCTTCAGTCTCCCATGGCACCGCATCACGTGATCACCGTCGAGAAATTGCCCAAATTGCTTAACGTAAATAGGTATTGAAGAATTCGCATTCTTTGACAGAAGGAATAATATTTGTTTTTCAAAGGATAGTTGTTGAATAGACCTTATCCATAGCAGCTGCGCCTTCCTTATTTCGTCTGAGCTTAATTCTTCCGAGGTTGTGAGTTTGTTGTTTGCTCGCACCGTGGCATCATCTTTAACATGTTGATGAATCTCATTACATAAGCAGTTATTCGAAGAAGTTTCTTCATAGAGCTATAACGAGTAATGTAGAATGCTTTGTTAAGATCTGGCATGGCTCGTTGTTCGATTTCATTCGAAACTAGTGATCTCACGACATTCGGATTCTCTTCCACAATTTCCCTCAGAACTTCGTCACTTTGTGAGAGGTCGCCAACTGGACGTTTTGGCCACTCTTCTTCGCCCCTTGCCAAGAATTTGGGTCCATTGAACCATAAGGAAGAATTCGAAAGTAGTTGCCCAGAAATACCTCGTGAGGGTAAATCTGCAGGATTAAGTGATCCAGGATAAAAGTTCCAAGATTCCGTCAATGAAATACTTCGAGTCTTGTTCACTCGATGCTGCCCGAATGGTTTCCATGCTCGATCGTTTCGTATCTAGTGAAGTGCTGTCATCGAGTGAACCCAATAAAAAACTTCCAGACTCCACTTGAGTGCCTTTAACAAAGAATCTACTAACTTCGCTAGTACAGTCGCTGCCACCAGCTCTAATCGGGGAATCGTTTGCTTTTTCACTGGTGCGACCTTTGTCTTTGAAGCGATTAATTTCACGTCGATGGTACCATTCTCATAGACTGTTCCTACATAGACAACAGCACCAATTGCACTTTCAGATGCATCACTGAATCCATGAACTTGTGTAGTAAAGTATTTCGGTTGGGGTGGATAATAGCACCTCGGTACACGAACATCATTTAGAAACCTTTACTCTGACAATAAAACGTTTCACTGTTCACGTAGATTGCCATGCAGTTCACAGTCCTACCCCAGTATATCCAAGCACATGATTTGAAACAGAATCTTCAGCCTTATCGTAAAAGGAGACAAGAATCCAAGGGGATCGAAGATATTAGATGACCATTTCAACAACGATCGCTTTGTGACAGGTAACGAATTGGCGTACTCGATTATTTCAGTCAATTTGAATAGAAATGTGTCTTCCATCGTATCCCACACCATTTCTAGTACTTTGACTTGAGTGGGTTCCGTGAGCAGTTACTCTTTTGCAATTGTCGACTTTGTAAAGGACTGATCATCTTGTGTAACGCTTGACTTGTCACTAATCAAGCTCAAATTCTTGTTACCTTCTAACACTTCGACAGACTTCACTTTGTTACTGGAATTCGAGTTCCATTTTTTGCAAGTTGAATCCACCCTTGGCCAACAACTGCTTTGTTCCCTTGTATATTTGCAAAGCGGTTTCATCGGTTTCTGCACCGGACACAAAATCATCGATATACAGAGAATTTTTCAAGTGTTCAACAGTTTCTGGCTCCTGTTTCTCGTGTGTCTTCAAATGATGGTTGATAGTAGCTCCAAGAATTGCTGTCGAAGGTCGTAGACCAAAAACCAATCGACAAAACCTTAGCTTTAATACTTCTGAATGAGGATCCCTAGCATCCCTTAGCCACAAAAAACGAAGCATGTCTCTATCTTCTTTGTCAATTCCAATCATTAAGAATGCTTCCTCAATGTCAGCAACTAGCCCAATCTTGTTTTGTCGAAATTTGACGAGCAAATCAAAGAATTGTGGAATGAGGTTCCACCCGGTCAGTAAGCAATCGTTTAGTGAAAAGTTACGCAAGTTCGTCGTAGCAGATCCATCATATACAACGCGTAGCTTTGTAGTAACCTTATCCTTTCGTATAACACAATGATGTGGAAGATAGTGAATTTTACCACGATCCTTATCAGATGCCGGAACCTATTCGACTATTCCTGCTGCCAATTGTTCAGTAATACCATTATTATATTCTTCAAGATTTGGTGGATCCTTTAGCAGTTTTCTATGCAATGATCTCAATCCATTATGAAAGAGTTCGTAATCATCATCAATTTGCACATGATCATTCTTCCACGGCAGACCAACTTCGTAGCGTGTTCCAGTGAATCGAATATTACGCACAAAATCTTGTTCCTCGGGTGAGTTTGCTGAGTCAAAGGAGTCAATGCCAACGCTCTCAGTTTCCCCAAAACGCTTCATTGATATTGTTAACTCATCCCTATCGGTTACGACAGTAGAATTATCAAGGTAGTCGGCTGCTAAAATGAGGCTGTTCAGAGTATGTCCGTCTGATTTTTGTGATGACCATCCAGACAAAAGCCATCCCAATTTGCTGCTCATCGCTGTTTGACCATTTTTCCTCGTACGACATCACCTGTGACTACGTCCAATAATGATCAGCTCCTATCAAGATGTCGATTGAATCACAGCTACCATTGTTATCGGAAGAATCAAAGTCTGCAAGTTCTAAACCATGGAGATGTGGATATTCGTCTATATTTATCCTTGTAGGAAGTGGTGCCCATATTGTTGGAAATGCGATTGCTTTAATCTCTATTGCCTCACCTCCACTCTTGCTTGCAATGCACCTTGAACACTTCGCAGCTTTCTTGTTTACTCTTTCTTTGGCCAAAGGTATTTAATTGAAGTGTCTCCTACCAATTTAATTTAACCTTAACCGATGATCTTTCGAAATATATACTCACAAATCTTTGGACGGAATAAACAAGATGTCTTCGCCTTCGATATGTATATTTTACTGAAGTATGATTGACATGTTTTTCTTTTCTAATGTGGATTTATAATTATTAGTCTAATCTTTCTTACACTACCATTGAGAGAGCCAACATACAGCCATATGAGACTAACTCAATCAATTTCTGAACAGTTTTTCTAGCTACACAATTTTACTGAAATGAGTTTTTTAGATAATGCTCATATATTGCTCAAAATACGTTTTGATCGTGATCTGCTTGCGTCATAGATGTAATTGTGACGTAGTCATTGTCGATCTAAATATAAATTTAAAGTCTTCTGTGATAACATATGTACATCCAACAATCAATTATAATTTAGAACATTACTGTACAGAGCTTAACATACTTCAAGGATTTGACTGGACTTCGTCAAGTCTTTTGACATAACGGAAAATTGAAATGAAAGAATGGAAAACAGTGCACGATTGTTATTTTAAGACTCAGAGTGAGAATTATTATTACTGTAATATAGTCTAATGTCCCTAATCCATTATATCTAAAATAAATGATATTCATTTAATTTATCATGATATGTAGTAATATTTTATATTTTGCTTTAATGTAGAATATTTGATTATTTTTTAATGTATTGCTGAACAGTAAGAATGATAAAGCATTAATTGAATGATAACCAAGGTTCATTATTTAAAAAAATATTACCACGTTACCTTATAATAGCTACAGTGACTTTGAAAGAGCAACAATATCATTGACAGAGCCATCCATTAGCGGATCCAGCGTTACTTAAAATAAATTATAGCTGCTAAATTTTAATTTCACAGTTTTTTGAGAAAAATGCTATTAGATTCAAAATTCTAAAGAATATAATTTTAGGAACGGACTTGTCTATACTGAAGGTGCTTATAGAAATGTAAATATATTCCAAATTGTGCTGTGTAATTAATTTTGACTTACCCTACATCCGCCACTGGAGCCATCTGATACACACTTTCGCTAGACTGGATTTTTTAGATAATGTACATATGCTGCCCAAAAACATGTTTTTATCGCTGTCTGCTTGCATTACAGATGTAATTGTAATGTAGTCATTGTCGATCTAAATATAAATTCATTGTTTTCTGTAATACATTCAGTAATCGATTACAATTTAGATCTTTACTGTTTATCCTTGGATCTAAGCAATGATGAGTTTAATGATATTGTGGTTATTGTGGCTGTCATTTGGTCAAGGATTCACAATGAAAATGGGTTGGAATGAAGAACTTGAGTTTTGTGAGGAAGAATGGAAAAAATTTTTTGCGGACAAAATTGGAATCGATTTGAAATGCAACAATACTCGTACACGTTGTTGTGTCGAAGAGAAGAAATATCTTTTGGAGCGATTTAAAATGTTTAGTGAAATATGCCCACTTGAAGGTAAAATAACAACAGTTTTTCCATAAAGAACATTAACTTATGTACTTAGCAAACATGGACTTAGCAAATAATCACAACACTTATATTACAGAGGTACTGCTTCATTTAAAAAACGGTAATTGGCACCGTGTTCTTTGAAAGTGCATCAAAGTGAGGTATAATCCCCTGAAAATGTTAAAGTACTTAACTGATTTTCTTACACTAGCCTTACAGCATGAACGAAGCATAATCTCTCGCTCATTGTTGATATGTTTAGTTACAACAACAAAACAATATGACAGTACAGCCAAAATACATGCAGTTATATAATATCGTCTGTAGTTATTGTCTATTGAGTTTTACGGATGACTGTCGATTTAATGCGAATTGTTAACAATATTTTGTTGCGAAACGAGGCTCATTTTCTACTTGTTCTTTTTCTTTGGACAAAAGTTAAAGACAACTTAATTTTATTTAGGGACATGTGGATGCATTCCGATTGTTATGAACGTTACCACCATGGAACGACGATATTTTAATTATTATAATTCCGTAAATTGGAAAGAACCAGAAAGCTTCACATGTTCACATGAGTACATAAATGAAACAATAGAAAAGTCATATCTTAAACCTTCTGCTAGCTTTGGAATCGGACAACACAAAATCCCTTACAAGTATATTTTATACGGTGGAAAAAATCACACTTGTTATGTTGTCATCAACGCGAACGAAAGACAACGTTATCAAGGTACATGCAAGAGCAGTTCATTATAGTTTCTTCTGTGTCAGTTTAATTTATAGTGCATAATTGTGATTATAGTGTTTCGTATTTAACTTTGGTCAAATCCATACGGCACTTTGACCTTTATTTAATTCATCTTCTCATGGAAATTTTTTTTGCCATTGCAAAACTAATTGAATACACTCCCGGAACAGCCGAACATGTTTAATTCGTCATACATTTATTATAATAGATAGATAATTTTATTTTAACACGCTTACCATTGTCAACATACAAGTTGATTTCCACATGGGGCGTGTGCAAAAATGAAAATTACAATAGAATAGTAAACTACTTACATTTACGATACACAAGACACTAAATTGTATATTGAATGAAGTATAGCTAGGTTAGAAAGCTATTTACAATTAGTTGAGTACATATTTGTTTTGGGAAAGTGGGAAGCGATTTTTCTTTGAAAGGTCGCTAGAGAACTAATTTCTTTAAGTTCATTTGGCAATGAGTTCCAGACTTGAGGCTTTTTTTCATGCTATTGGTTCGTGGCTGAGGTAAGCATAGTGTTTTTTTAAAACCACGAAGTTGATAATCTGTTGATTCGCTTTTGAAACTAAATAAACTAGTAAGTGACTTTGGACCCGTGTTGTTAAGGAATTTGAACATGAGCTTTGCTTTACTTTTTTGCCTTTGAATATCAAGAGACTCCCAATCTAAAGCTCTCAAAGCAATTTCGTGATCAACAACATTACTCATGTTTGCGATGATTCTAGCAGCTCGATTTTGAAGTTTTTGTTAAATTTTTTTCCGGGGGGTGAAGTAAAACATGTCACTTACGTGATTTGCATACTGTGTAATGCTATTGATATTTTTTAAGTATGTACATGAAGAATTCATTGTGAGCATAGATATGTATAATAAAGCCAAAGTAATCAGGTGCCCATATTGTTATCACCCAATTACTAGGTCCCTTTTGAGGAACGAAAACAAACTTTAATTTAGGAGAGAGCTTTAATAACGACGTATTTCTGTTATTTTTTGGAACTTAAAGCCATGTGTAATGCATAAAATATGCTGAAAATATTTTTAACTTGGATAGAAGCGGTAGATTTTTGTCTTTCACGCTTATAAAGTCTATGATTTTTGCATTTTACTTACATTTTACTTAAGCTCATTTTATACACAAAACACGTTTTTGAAAATGCTGTTAGTTAAAAACTTCTAAAGAATATTTAAGACCAAAATTCTCGCAATAGGATGTGGTTAAAGTATTTTAAAATGGAAATATATTTTAGTGATGCATTCTGACCTACCCTAGATCCGCTACCTGTCCTCCGTCCATCTAGGATCGGAAGCTCCAGAAATTTTTTTGTAAGGGGGACTCAAAAATGTCACTTGCATTTTGTACGTACTGTGTAATGCTGCTGAAATTTTTGAAGTTATGTGCACAAAGAATTCATTTTGGGCGTTGGCGTCAATTCTGCGATAATTGGTATTCATATATTCTGTTATGCCAGGTTGATTTCTTTTGAAAGTGAAATTGTTTTGAAGAGAAATTACCCAGGCATAGCAAAATATATGAATATGGTCCCCCCTATTAACACAAGATTGACGCCAACGTCTCCCACAGATGTTGCGGAGACGACTCACCCCTTGTTTCCTCCTTGGTGCCCACACTATGTATAGGATATACCTGATGTCTATTTGTTGTTACTTGTTTGTACATGTCATTAGACAAAATAAAACGTCTATCTTCATATTTATGGAATGTCATAATTAATCAACGAATCCTGGCACGTACAAAAATGTTTGGTAATTTCTGTCTTATATACATCCAAGTGCATATAGCACTTTAATTTACATGCGTAAGATATTTATTTATTGACCGTTATTCTGGAATATTGTCAGAAGTAATTCACTTCGCTTTAAGAAGTCTCTATTTTCAAAAGTTAATCTCACATTTTTCATATATTGTACTGCATAAAGTATTGTCTTAAGTGACATATTGTCTCATTTTCATTTCTATCTTTTGATTTGGATTTGCGTACAAGGGCACTTCTATGTTTGTATAAATGTTGTAAAATGTCGCGTTTGGGTTAGTATTGCAGGCATGAAAGGTTCTATAACCTTTAAAATCTACAACTTTTGTATTGTATAGGCTCAGTGACGTGCTTTGGTGAAAAAATAACAAACGTTAGCTGTCCTAACAATCAATACATGGTCATAAAAAAGGCAAAATATCGTGGATTGAATGAAGGAAATGTTTGTGGCTCAAGTTACAATTACAGTTGTAGCTTCGATGTTACATGCCATTTAAAAAGACGCTGTGATGGTCAACGGGTGTGTAATATAAGTGTCGATGATAATCTCTTCCCTTCCAATATTTGTGTTGGCCTGAACAAGTATCTTTACTTTGAATATCAATGTAACGACACCATGACGTCATTGGATGATATCTGCTACGGTAAATACATTATGCGTAATCATGCGTGGACAGATGAAATGACACGCAAAAAATTAAAGCCTTGTTTTTTCTTTCTAGATACGACTGGATTTTTCTTGAAACATGTCGAAACTGGAAAGTGTATTTATGATACAGAAAAAATACAGTCATCACTAGGTGCAAGAACTCTTCGATTTTTGGAACTTTCCCACAACTGTCTTCATCCTTCATCTCAGTTTAAATTCTTAGATAACAGCGCCATATTGAAGTTGAACGTACCAGGTTGTCTTCAAGGAGTTAATAAATGGGTAAATGGTCATCGTCTTGATATGTTGTATATCCACACTGATACGCACAACATTAATGACGTTGCTTGTGTCAACAACAATGCTGTAAAACAAACCTCTTGGGGAGGTCTAAAAATACGGTACTACATAGCTGGAAAATCAATTTCGATGTTTAAGACCTTGGACTTCTAAAGAACTACAAGACAAAAAAGGAGTTGATCCTTATTTGAAAATGGCTAATTGTAAGTCTGCACCAAAAAAGCAATTTCATTTCGGTAAGGGTTATTTTGTTGTTAATTCATATTTCGGTCCACCAAAATTGAAAACTCATCAAAATATTTTAAATGATCACAAGTTATTCAAAAACATGGTAAGTCAGCTACGGAAAACATGAGAAATCAGCTCAGCACACAAGAAACACTCATATTGGTATTCAAAGAGAAGGAACTTCATTAAATAAAAATAATTTTTATTGGTACATCAACATGTCGACTATGATGTCAGGTGGCAATGTTCTATAGACTTGTTTTTTCTTGTGATTTAATTAATACAATAGAAGAATCCGATCTTCTATAGTCTTTCTAATGCAATTCCGATTTCGGTGTTTTGTATTTTTACTTGAAATCGCTGTGGGAATTTAGGGAGCTAGTGGCTTTCGCACAAACGTCCGTTATTTTCTCATTTTCTGCGCGTCAGTATCAATACGCTTACAGTGATAAACTTTAAAAAAACAAAAATTTTACATACGCAAGTGTTACTTATCTTTGTTGATTGAATTTCTCGAACATTTGTAGTTTTTTTCATTAATCAACAGCTTTTAGAAATAATGTCCCACGGTTATTTAAAATAGAATTTATTTTTCTTGCAGGTTCAATAGCGTGTTTTCGACAAAAGATGACGGACGTCAGTTGTCCCAAACGTCAATACATGACCATCAAAAGTGCATCATACCGCGGATTGACTGGAAGTAATATTTGTGGGTCAAGTTATGGCTACAGTTGTAGTGTCGATGTCACGTGTCATCTGAAGAGACACTGTGATGGCAAACGAGAGTGTATTGTCATTGTTAATGAAAATCTCTTTCCTTTAAACATTTGTCCTGGTTTGAATAAGTATCTTTATGTTGAATATCAATGCAGCACCACATCGTTTGTTGAAATTTGTTACCGTAAGTTTACTTACATTAATTTTCATTTTCAATTTGTTAAAAATTTGATGTTGATGAATACTTTAATTAATTTTATTATACAGTAATTTCTAGCTAAATTATGTTAGAATAAATCCTGTATTTCAGAAACAGCTTTCTCAAATACAATTTAATTCCAAAGCCAGCATCAGAGAATATATATAATATATTAATCCTAACATGGTTTAATATGCACATGAAAAACATGTGACTTGGACGACATTTGAACTCGCACCTTCGGGATACTAGTCCGCCGCTCTACCTGTTGAGCTACCAAGCCCACAGGGTGTGGAGACGAGTCGAATCTCTTTAAACTGCGTATGGAAAACAGCGTTCATTTGTTTGCAAAATTGAAAAAGATTGTCGTTACGCATAATCCTGTTTCTCCCTTCTCAAAAACATTGAAAAGACAACGTTTATAAAAGTGTTTGTTCTCTAATTTCTTTAGTTGAAACGGCATACCTGTCAAATTCCATTTTCCCAAGCCAAGGAGTTGTAAATGTTATCACGAAGTATGATGGTAACTTTGCAATCTGTAAAGACGGTTCCTTAGATAAAGTAAAACACGGTATTTGCAGTATGTAAGCTAGTAAAACACGGTATTTGGTTACCCTGCAGCTAACTCTATCAAAATATGGACATCAAGCAAAGGCGATCAAATTTTTTTATCTGGAAAGTTATCTTGTAACAACCAAGCAAAAAATCTTTCTCAATGCGTTGTCACAACGAAAGAGAAATGTTCCCATCATTCATTATTAAAATGTAAGTATCGACTTACTTTTATCATCATGACTTACATCTATCATCATGACTTACATCTATCATCAAGACTTACATCTATCATCAAGACTTACCTCTATCATCATGACTTACCTCTATCATCATGACTTACCTCTATCATCATGACTTACATCTATCATCATGACTTACATCTATCATCATGACTTACATCTATCATCAAGACTTACCTCTATCATCATGACTTACATCTATCATCATGACTTACATCTATCATCATGACTTACATCTATCATCATGACTTACATCTATCATCATGACTTACATCTATCATCATGACTTACCTCTATCATCATGACTTACCTCTATCATCAGGACTTACATCTATCATCATGACTTACCTCTATCATCATGACTTACCTCTATCATCAAGACTTACCTCTATCATCAAGACTTACATCTATCATCATGATTTAACTCTTTCATCATTACTTACGTGTATCATCATGGCTTATCTCTATGTGAATTTTTTTTCATAGGTCATATCTGTGCCAGGCCGTTGTTAAACGACACAAAAAAATTCCCTGACTCATTGTTTTCCGCTTCAAAGGCAATAAATTTGCACAATGCCGCCAATGCAAGAATATCCAGTGGCAGATCGTGGTGTGCTCCTACTGCTGATGGAAATCACTATCTTCAAGTAAGCTTTGAAAAACTTTATGCTAATAACTCCGTTGCAATTTTTGGAGACACAACAACCTTAATTTGGGTGACAAAATATCACATTAACACCACTTCTGATTTAATAAACTGGGAGTCAGTATCTAATCAGAATTCACAAAAAGTAAAGTGGAGTTAGAGTATTTTTGAAACTGAATTTTGCAATGTTATGATAAAATTTTTCACATGCTAGTGCGACTGCTGAATTGTAGGATTTAACGGTTTTTCAGGTTTTCAAAGGAAACAAAAACGCTTACAAAGAAGCTGCTATATCAAACATCAAAGGAGGTACAAGGACGAGAGCTTTACGACTTACTCCAGTGACCTACAACAATCGACCCTGCATAAGGGTAGAACTTTGTGGCGGAGTTAAGAACTTTATTAAAATTGAGAACAGTGGCGTGGCCCGGGAAAGGAACTGAAGGAGCTTGTCTTCCCCCAGTTATTTTGATGAACAATTTTGTAATTGAAGGATGAAATGAAATAGATTTCGAACAGCAATAAAAAGATTTGCTTCCTGTTAACAGGTACATAGCAAAGTATAGTAAACAGCAATCGTCAAGCATTGTTATTTGTAAGATGGACTTGAATACACTTGCTAACACATCTAACAAAATGCTGCCATTCTAAAAACGTGTGGCTTTTAGATTGTTATAAATCCTGCCTGTGAGAAATAGCGTTTTAGGCAACATAAAGTCAAACATTTCTTTAAGGGAGCATGCCTCTGAACCCCCATTGAAGTCTCACACATCTGACGTTTTCATTGGCCCTCCTAGTCTGAACAACCTGGCGGCGCCACTGATTAAGAACTATATTATACTGCAAAGCTAGTAGTGTAAGCTAAATTCTTTTGATCATCCACCAACAAATACAACTAAAATTATCCTTTAATTTTGAACTTTCTCCCATATTGTAAAGTTTTCATCTGCAAGTTATGATTCGTAACGTTTTAGAGCTTTTAAGCCGTTTTGGACTCTTGCAAAGTATTTTTTCCCCAATTTCTTTGCTTTTGATTAAACCAAAGTGCCGGCGCGTTAGAAATTTTTTTTTTAATTTCCTCCATCCTCCCATGTACTTCTTAGATATTTGTGAATGTTTATGTGTTTATTTGTTTATGAATATGTGTTTATTGCAAAAATTGAAAGTTACATAATTGTTCACAAAAGCAGAGGTGAAACCAGAACGTTCGTTTAGATCATGTTAACTCTCTTTTAAGATTCTACCTTTCTTTTAAGATTAGTACTGAAATAAATAATGGAATGGATTGTTAAAATCTTGAGAATGATAATTTTCATTGCAGCAGAACGTTATATAGTAAAATCATTGTTTACGCTTTATTTACATTTAATTAGTGCACTTGAAAAGCAAATATAAAAGGGTGTATCAAAAAAGAAGACCTTTTGAAATTAACGAATTGTAATAATTTCAATGCCTATCACGTAAATTGCAATACCATGGGTACATTCAAACAGCAAAACATGCACAAGTATGCACCAGTATGATTTGCATAGTCCTTAGGCACTGAAATCTTACAATAGGTTAATTTTAAAGATCTTCTTTTGTTATACATCCTGTATATCAAAATAGATCTTTCTTTCTTGTTGTAGAATTGCTTCCGAGCAGCCCAACAGGTCTCAATATCACTTACAGTGTGTCAAGATACGTTATAATATCGTGGATGGATCCCCAAAACATTGCAGTGACTCCCGGCGCAGATGTTGTAAATCCTTTGACAAAGTTTAGGTTCATATTGAGAAATCAAAGGAAGGTCATTTTAAACAAAACTGAGCCATCTAACGTTGCTAAGCCTTACATGTTGAGCAATGTTATTCCTAACACAATGTACACAGTAGTTGTATCTGCTGGAAATTCTGAAGGTTTTGGAGATGCAGCGAATGTTTCTTTTAAGACAAAAGAAGATGGTAAGATTATATTTCATCCTATTTTATTCTTCGTTTTTATGTGTGTGCATCATTTCAAACATAGCTAGGAGAGAAAGAAATCGTATGCTACTTAAATCTTAAATATAAAGTCGTTTTTACTCGTTAAAATTTCATTGTGTAAGTGAACGTGGAATATTTTCCCCGATTATTATTTGTGGATTCTGGCCATGACTAACTCGACGAAGCAAACTGCCCCATTCCATTTCTTATAATTCATAAGTTATAAAAAGAATGAAAACGTTCGTAGAAGGCAAGCCACGTATTGATATAGGTAATTACTCTAACGTGTCTTTGTATTTATTATTACCACCACGAGCAGCGAGCTACCAAACGACAAATCTTCCTTCTAACCATCATATGTTTTATGGCTATCAATGCCATTCCAATTTTCAAAGATGGCTGTTAGCTCTTAATTGGCTAGGATTATTTTCTGACATTTTCTTTCTTCTTCTTCAAAATGCTCGATAGGAAGTAAAATACTCTCGATAACAGTGTCTCTATAACAAATATTCTTCTTGTTGGGATCAGGTTGAAAATTTTTACCTGAAAAAAACATATCTGCTCAGTGCTTCAATGACCAGACACTTTGCTCGCAATACCTATCGTAACCAGTCCATGTGTTTGGAGTTACTTTTTTCTCTTGACATCTTTCAACTCTTGTTCTTCAGTATTTGATCATGATATGGGAATAATTATCGCTATTCTGGTCTTTTATAAGTTTTATCATATCTACCTTCCTCACTTTATTTGAAGTTTCCATGGCAGCACGCAGACGTTTCTTCTATTTCATTGCGATAACACGGTGTATCCTGTAGAACGCCTTCTGTGCTTCTTTCGAGTTTCGGTTCTTTTCCCTCTTACATTCTAACTTGTTTTACTCTGTCAGAATGTTTTCATTTACAAAACAAAACGACGCAGTAAAACAATGTATTTCACTTGTCGGACGTATGTGTAACTATTTGCACATATAGAAAATTTTTGACTTACAATTTAAATTTGTTCTTAAAACATGGAATGGTGAGAAAACCATGATGATCATCAAAATATCAGATACGACCTTACACGTTTACAGTACTGTATTTACCGTAAAACTGAAATGAACTTACTTCAGTTGTCAAAATAAACGTTTGACTCAATGTTTTTTCTTGAATACGACTATATAACATGATGCGAAATTTTAACTGTCTTTTTACTTAGTTCCTGAAGGGCCTCCTCTAAATATAACAATCTCTGTCATCAGTAGTTCATCGTTATCAGTCACGTGGAAACCACCTGATAAAAGCAAGAGAAACGGGAAAATTGTCAATTACACTGTTTGTATACCACCTAGTAAGAGCTTCAAATTTTCAGAAACCTTTACTACCGAATATCAAAGCTTTATCATAAATGAGTTGAAACCAGCGACGACGTACTATGTGTGGGTTTTGGCAAGTACAAAATTGGTTTTGGAAATTACAGTGAAAAGCAAATGGCCATAACAAATGGACGTACGTTTTCATTTAGAAATCTTCTCTTGCTTTGTGTAACTGTTACTACTTAATGGAGGGAGGTTGTGCACTTTAAAATAGGTTTTGTATTTTTAGTGCCTCCGACAGGGACGTTCAACCCGTCGGAAAAAACTTTGACATTTTCTTTAGAAATTCCTACGGTTAAATATGAGTAAGTTATAGTACGTAAGTTCTTAGATCATTTATTTTGAGCCTATAAACACTAGGTTCATCACATTTACTTACTTAATGGAAATAACACAAGAAGCAGTCAGATTTTATAACTCTTTGATGCATAAATATTTAAACTTAAAGGCTTATAATTGTACATGGTTAATCTTGACTCTCAGAAAAGACGAATAACGAAAATACCTGCTGCTAGGGATATTTTATTTTTTCTTATTCTGCAACCTGGATCGAGGGTGCAATATATAGCAATTCCTGGTTGTCCTCAGTACTTAGCCATATTAATCTTGGCTATTAGGATAGTCAGTCAACTTTGTTCATGATCTTTTTTTTAATTTAAAAAATAAATTTTAAACTCAAATGCTATCGTTGTTTGAACCATTGATCTTTTTGGTGTCTTTTTTTGCAATACGCTTCCCATGGAAAATATGTATATTTTTTTATTTCAGGTACTTATTCGTAATTGCCATGCAAGGTGACAGACATAATCTTCCATCGCCTTTTACATTAAATGTTGAAGACTTAGAAACATATTCGACTCCTTCACCACCAAACCTTTACGTTGCTGCGGTACTTAAGCCAAGTGGTGGTGGTATTTTCGTGTTTATACTTGGTGATGGCTCAAATTCAAGTATTTCGGGATTAGGAGGTCGTCGTTCTCCCGAAAGAGTTTATTATAACGCTCCTCTAAAACCCAATACTACTTATCGAATTTTCCAGCGTGTGGTGATAAATGATCAGGTAATTGCTTAAATTTTTTTTTAATAACTTCTTTTTGGGTTTTTTTTTATCAAAATTTAATGCACTTCTTATCAGGGTGATTTTTATTCCACTGAATGGAGTCCTTCAGCAAGAACTGCTTCAGAGCTACTTCCGCTTCCAGGTGAGTTTAAGAGTATGGCTTTATTAATAGTCGAAGCATAACTTTAAACGAAATCGCGGAGAAAAATTGCCAAATGGACAGTGGAAATTTTTTTTCAATTTTTTCCAATAAAATAACTGTTTTTATATAAATGAATTCGCTGGATTCAGAAGCATTCTTTCTATGATGTGCAAATTTGAAGTTCGATATGGAAAAATCTGAACACTGCTTATTTTCAATCGTGTGGTGATAGTGCATGCAATATTGAAAGGCATGTGTCTTTCTCTGTTTTTCTCTCTTAGGCGATAGTAAAGATGATGATAACAATGATAACAACGTAACTGCAATTGCTGCAGCTTCTGCAGCTGCTTTTGTTTTCACTATCGTCTTTGTGGTGCTAATAACTCTTTGGAGAAGGTAGGAGGAGTTTAAAATGAACAGTAAAGTCGACTGACAGCATTAGTGTGAGAGGTGAATGTTTGACACTTTCACATGCAATTTTTCACTTCTTGCAATTGATCTTACGTGTTTATATAACTAGCTTAGAAACACTGCAAATGCTTTTTTTATCTTACATATCAGACTCTTCTTCACAATTGCGCATCATATATTGTCCCATCTTTCTCAGAGTAACAAGAGAAATTATCAAATACAATTGAGCATTAAATATGTTTGCAAGATTTTACCAAACTTCCTTTTAAGGATTTAGAAACCTGCTGAATATATGCACAAACAAATGACAACTCTTAGTTTTGCACTATTTGACAATGTCTGAGGATATTGTTTTGGTTGTAATAAAGAGAACGCATGAAGCATTTTCTGTTTTAAAAAATGGCAAGCACTGTTTTGTAAGATAAAAAGGAGCATGATACGCTTAAGAAAATTTTGTACTAAGAAGTACAAGCAGGCCAAACTTTGCGTACAAAGAAGGACGAACAATCAACTCGTGGGTACTCTACTACTACTGTCTTCTGCTAATGATTGTATATTTTTCTAGAAGACGTGCTATTGTTCAAGAGCCTAAATCGCATTTGCAATCAGAACATGAGGATAGGAATGGACAAGAGCTGTCCGTTAGAAACGACGCGTTCATCGTTAATGACATTGCGGATCCTGTTGTACGACCAAATGAAGAAAATATTTATGTAAACAAGTCAATTTCCGAAAAACAAATGTATGGAAACAAAGAAAGTAAGTAATTTTGAAAAATATCGTTTTTTCTATAACGTTGGTAGTTTTTCTTGATTACATTGCTTATTATATGAGACATGTATTATTGAAACGCTCGGTCAGTCGACAAAAAGTAGAAGTTTTTTCCATGTATGTAGTTGATGACAATAATAATGTGGTTTGATTTGAATTTAATTGGAGTTCCAGGTAGCTCTGTGTAATAAATCTGATTTCAAGATAATTATATTTACAACATTGCCTACTATGAAAATGATTGACAATACGCTTGCCGTAACGTTATGCATGAAAAGCAAAACATCTTGATGATAAAGCTATCTTGACATAGTAAATTGTTGTTTGTTAGTACATAGCCATTGTGTGCTATGTCCTTTATCTGACAATATTTTTCACATTGTTATTTTTCAGCTATCGAGACCCGTAATCGGTTACCAATTCCACTCGCAAATTTTACTGAGCACGTAAAAAAACTGAGAACAAAAAACATGGAGGAATTGAGGCTCGAATTTGAGGTAATGTGTTTTATGTGTTCTCTTCTACAGATTTGAAATCCTTAGCGGACTAAAAATTCAGTCAAATTTCTCATAGTATATATGCTATTATGAGTAGTTTAGCATCTTCGGCTCAATCTAACATTAAAAATAAGCAAAAAATTCACGAAGGTTGGAAGCTGGAACGAGGTGATAAAAATGAAATTTGTTGTCATGAAATGAAAGTTTGAGTCTTGGCTTGCAAAGTGCGGAGATTTTAAAAAGTACGTCCGCCGCACTGATAGGTAAACTTAGGTGGTTTTCTTTTTAACTCGTGCACGGCTGTTTCATGCACAACCGAAAACAATTATATACGAGATTAGATTGTGTATTCATACCTATGCTTGAACATTAGATCCTTACTTGTTAAACTACGCAAACCAAATGTATGAGGATTCCCGTTTCAGTAGCTATGAGTTTAACACACTTGTTCAGTTTTGTATTTGCTTACTATTAAAATTTGCAGGACTTACCAAATGGTCAGAAATGCAACTGGGTTATTGCCAAAAAAAACCTATGAATTCTGCCAAAAAATCGATATGGTAACGCAGTCACGTGTAAGATTATATTGACTCGAAAACCATACAATACTGACAAAGTTGTTGTGGAAACACTGTCATGTGTCAGATTATTGACACAGAGTCCTTACAATACCCACAATAATGCTTTTAAAACACCATCACATGCAAAAATGTTTGGCCTAGATACCTTTCAAAATTAGGAAAGACAGCTAGCCGGCTATGTAAATTTCAGATCGTCATCATTATATTTATTTCTTTAGAATTTTGTTGTTTTCGAATTAAAGATGAACGTAAAAAATTTTACACAGCCGGACTAAATAATCGTGCTGGCTCACCCCTCCTTACAATCACTAAATGCAGTGGAATGATAGAGATTTTTCCGTGGAAAAATTTTAATGCTAACAAAACCTGATGGGGAAACAAAATCCCAATTTACGTTGCAAACCACTGAACATAATGATATCAATGAGAAAGTGATATGTGTGAATGTAATTGTTATGTAAAAGAAAGGAAAATGTCAAAAACGAAAATTGTGTGTTCGAAACGTTATTTTGTCTCTTCTAGTCGACCATTCTCGTGTGATACTCTCTGGTGATGAAAAATCTGACTTTATCAACGCTTCTTTTGTCGACGTAAGTTTCATTGAAAACAGTTTTTTGCTCGCAACATCGTCGACAGTTTACGTTAAAGATTCGCTCTTTTTTTCAATTTATACATCCTTGAACATGTTTTTGGATGTAGAGTGTCCAGTTTAGTAGAGTCCTGAGAACGACTTTTGTTGTTGATGTTGATTCGTTGACTATGAAGATGACTACCTCTAAGGTTGTCGAAACGTCATTCAACATCAACAATAACAGTCCTTTTCAGGACTCCACTAACCTAGAAGATCTGCATCCACAAACAGGTTACGATACTCCTGGGTTCAAACCATTTACTTTATAAATCCTTTATTAACTTTGTAGGGGAAATGTGAGAAGTACTACATTGCGACCCAAGGTATTTTATTAGTTTAAAATTTAATCAATATGTTGCCGTCGACGAATTTTCAACGTGTTTGGATTGATGGCGCGTGATACAACTCCCAGGGGCGGATCTAGAGTATGTCAAATCCGTCGCGCGACTGATGTTTGAAATTCAAAAATTACCTATTCATATTAATTAAAAAATCACTAATTATTCTTTATTATCGCATTTACTTCGTGATAAAAATCCAGCTTTATTTATTATTGAAAACTAATGACTAATCCAATGAATATCTCGTTGGTAACCAGATCAGTTGAATTTTAATTGACCTGGAATAACCGACTGATAAGCGGGGTGGCATGACTGGTTCGACGGATAAAGGAGTCAATGAACGCCAAAAACGCTTATTTTATTGGTCAATAGACAGATCAGTGGACAGTCTGGAATGGTCTGGACCGATAAGAGGGTGGCCGGACGTATAAGGAGTCCAATTGCTATCTTACAATTGGTTCATTTGAATTTTTGTTTTATTGTGATTGGTTTGACGGATTTCGACTGATAGCCAACTGAACAAACATAGTCAAGCTCACTGTCTGAATTGAATGTTTGTCGTTTCATAGTAATTTTTATAAGCATGATAGAAACTAAACTACAATCAGACGGATTTATGGAAATCTTTTACAAATTAATATATTGACATGAATGCTGCTGTCCAAACTGTGAATTTTTGAAGAGGGTGAAAATTTATGGATAAATTGCAAATGTTTTAGAAATTGTTCGCATTGTGTCATTTAGCAATACATCTAACTTATTGACGTGTTTAGAGCGAGACCAAATAGGAGAACAATATTCTGCAACACTGTATGATAGGGCAAGAGATGATGTCCTAAGTACCGTTGGAGTGGCGCCCCACGATGTTCCTGCCAGTTTGTTAATTATGCCATTTCGTTTTCACAGTTTTGTGGCAGTGTTTTCAATGTGCTGTTTGTATGTTAGCGGGCGATCAAAAGTCACACCCAGGTATTTTGGAGATGAGTCATATGATAATTTGGAGTTGCCTACACGTAATGCAAGTTGTAGATTTGCCTTGTAATTGTCCAAGTAGAAGAGGGTGCTTACAGTTTTTGTTGTGTTCATCTTTAGGTACCACTTGTTGAAAAATATTTTTAGTTTTGTTGTGTCATGTCTGAGGGCTTCTTTAATTTGTTTAATATCTCTAGATTGGTGTGATAGTACGAAGTCATTAGCGTAGCCAAGTTTGAGATAGGTGGTCTGTGGTAAGTCACTGATATAGATGTTGAACAAAGTTGATGCTAGAACTGAACCTTGGAGAACACCGTTTTTATAGTTCTCTTTTGCTTAATTTGTCACCCAGACATACATGATAAATTCTTGATCCAGACATTTTATTCAAAGCTTTAGTGTTTTCTTACAAGGGATACATTTGGCTAACTTATACATCAAACCGTTGTGCCATACCGTGTCGTAAGCCGCAGATAGATCAATAAATACAGCTCCAGTTTTCTGTTTTCTTTCATATCCCATTTCGATGTATGTCGTTAAGGCCAGAACTTGTTCATTATTCTCTCTAGAAGTTTAAAACAACAACACAACAGAGAAATTGGGCGATAACTTGATGGATCGTTTGAGGGTTTTCCAGGTTTGAAGATGGCAAGTATTTTAGCTTCTCTCCAAGTCAGTGCGTATTCTGATTTGTCAATAACATCCGAGAGAGATAATGCAAGCCAGTTGATCGTCTTGGGGCCTCAATCATTGATCATGTCTTGAAAGATACCGTCTATTCCGGCTGCCTTGCCAT